GCGCGCAGCGACGCGGGCAGCGCGCCCGCGGCCCGGGCGCGCAGCGCGCACCACAGGGCGGCCTGGCCGGCCGCGAGCGGCACCACCACCCGCAGCAACGCCAGCAGCACCTCGTCCGGCGCCGCCGCGCGCGCGACCGGCCTGCCGTCGCCCGCCGCGACCGCCGCCCGCTCGGCTTCCGCCGGCGCGGGCATCTCCGCGGCCGCCAGCGTCGTTACCAGCAGCTCCAGCAGCAGCACCCAGGGGTCACCCGGTGACGCTGCGTCACCGGCCAGCCGCGCCCACGGCGCGGGGCCCAGCTCGGCTGACTCAGCGACCGGCTGCTCGTCCCCGGAGTCCTGACGCGCGCCGCCGCCGCCGCCACCGCCCGCGGCGGGCCGCGGCCGCAGCGCGGCCAGCAGGCGCGGCAGCACCCGGCCGGGCAGCGCCTCGCAGCAGCCGAGCAGCGGCACGGAGGACTGCGCGCGGGCGGCCGCAAAGCCGGAGACCGGCTGGTCCGCCAGGGCGGAAGGCGCGGCCGCGGGCAGCAGCGCCCGCCAACCCCGCGCCGGCGCGCCGCCGCCGCCGCCGCCGTGCTGCGCGCACCCTCCTTCCAGCCAGGAGAGCAGCCATGCCGCCGCCGTCTGCAGGGGCCCCACGTCTCCCCCATCGTCCCCGCCGCCCCCCGCCGCGGCCGTCGAGCACAGCGTCGCGACGCTCTGCAGGGCGCGCGCCTGGTGGGCGACCGCCTGCGGGCCAGCGTCGCCGGGGCCGCCGCCGCCGCCGCCGGCGGCCGCGCAGAGCGCGGGCGCCGAGGGGCGCGCCATCGCCTCGGCATGGGCAACGCCGTGGGCCAGGCAAGACCAGAGGATCTGTTCGGTCGACAGGCCCCCTAGCCGGCTCAGCATCCAGCCGCACCCCTCCAGCCGCGCCGCGGCGCTCCACCCGCCGCCGCCGAGCGCCCCGTCGGAGGCGGGGGGCTGCGGGGGCGGCTGCTGCGGGGGGCCGTGCCGGTCTGGCTGCTGCTGCAGCTGCATGTGCAGGCGTGCCTCCTCGTCTTCCTCTGACAACGGGTCGTCGTCGTCGTCCTCCCCCTCATCCGCCTCAAACATCACATGATCCCACTGCTGCTGCTGCTGCTCCTGCTGCTGCTCCTGCTGCTGCTCCTGCTGCTGCTCCTGCTGCTGCTCCTGCTGCTGCTGCTGCTGGCCAGCCCCCAAGATCACCTCCCGCTCCCCATCCCTCAACACCAGCACCACCCGCCCATTATCGATCCGCGCCTCCGCTCCCCGCAGGTCTATCGGCGCCGCGCCGCCGCCGCCGCCTGCGCGCTGCATCGCCGCCGCGGCAGCCCGCAGCATCCGCGGGGGAAGGCGGATCCTCAGCCCCCCTGCGGGGCCGGCGCCGGCGGCGGCGGCGGCTGCGGCCTGCGTTGCCATGGCCCAGGCGGCGGCGGCGGCGGCGCCGGGCGACGCTAGGGGCGCGGCGCGGGAGCCGGGCTTCGTCTGTGAGAGGGCCGTGCAAGGGTTGGCCGTAGCAAGTGGCGAAGGGGCAGATGCGGAGGGGTGGGAAGGGAGGGAAGCCTGCCGCGGCAGCCAGCATAGACCGCGCACTGAGGGGGGGCGGGTCCAACAAGCGGTGGCAGCTTGCCGACACGCATGTCACACACACACACACACACACACACACACACACACACACACACACACACATACACACACACACACACTCACTGCCTCGTTCCGCACAAATGTTAAGGGGAGTCCCTATACCCAGGCGTCGCGGCCACAAGGCCGCGCCGCCATCGCGTGATCAGAGCGGGGACCGCAGGCAGCACATTCATCTTCACCGCACCAGATTGTCCACCAGCCGCCGCAGCTCCAGGCAGTGCCACTCCAGCTCGTCTGCAGCCTGCCGCGCCAGCCGCCGCACGGCCGGCCAGTGCGCGCCGGCGCCGGGCCGGACGGTGCCGGCGGCCGCGGCCTCAAAGTAGCGGGGGGCGCCGCCGCCGAGCAGGTCGCTCGAGGACCCATCCGACATTTCTTCATCCTCCCTGCCGCCGTCGTCGCTGCCGCCGCTGCCTTCCGCGCCACTGCCGCCGCCGCCGTCCCCTTCGCCGCCGCCGTCCTCCCCTTCGTGCAGGAACGCGGCCCCTGGCGCGCTGGGGCCCTCGTCCGCGCCCGCCCCTTCGTCTTCCCCCTCCTCCATCGCGCCGCCGTCCTCCGCGGGCAGCTGCCCGACAGCTTCCTCGTCCCTGCGCCCCACCCAGGGCACCAGCGAGTTGGTCACCCGCTTGCACAGCGGGCACAGCATCTCCCGCCGCTCCATACGCACGATGCCCTCCCCGGGGTGCGGGTCACCCAGCTCCCACGCCGTCTCGACGCCGCGCCTGCGCGGCGGCCGCGTCGGAAGCAGCGGCGGCGGCGGCGGGGCGCGCGGGCGGGCCGCGTGTTTTGATGGAATTCAACGTGTTGACGAGTGAGAGGGGGGGAGGGTGGCGGAACCGAAGGGTGATGGCGCGGCGGCCGGACAAAGGCACTCACCCCTCACGGTCCAGTCCTGGCCGCCCCAATCTGACGTCATCTGACGTCATCAGATCCGGCCCGATCCCCGCAGACGCCGGGCCCACCCACCAGTAGGAATGGAAGCAGCCGTAATGCATGGTGTGGCCGCAAGACACGAGGTGCAGCCCCGGCTGGTGGTCTGCCGCGCTGAACATCACGCCCCACCGCCCGCCGCCGCCGCCGCCCTCCTCCTGCCCCTCCTCCTCGCCCCATCCCGCCGCGGCCGCCGCGCCCGGCCGCAGCCCCGCGAGTCCCTCGTCCCCTTCGTCCGACGCCCCGCCGCCGCCGCCGCCATGGGCCTCGCCGCCGCCGCCGCTGCTGGCTGCGGCTTGGCCTGGGACCGGCGCGTCCCACGCGCGCCGCGGCGCGAGCGCGGCGCCGAGCGTGCCGCACACTTTGACGTGACACAGCAGCCCGATCGGCCCCCCGCCGCCCGCGCCGTGGCACAGAACGCAGTCGCCGGGCAGCTGCTGCACACGACTAACCACCATCTGCACGCTGCTCGCCCCCCGCGCCCCGCCCTCAGCCTGCGTGACGTCATCGCCGCCGCCGCCCCCCGCCGCCGGCGGCTTCCCGGCAGCTGCCGGCCCCGCTCGCGCCCCTCCGCCTTCCATATCCTCGTCCTTGTCCGACTCTTCGTCTTCCTCATCGGATCCCTCGCCGCCCCCAGAACTTCCTCCGGCCTGCCGCAAGAACGCGGCCTGCTGCGCCTGCAGCTGCCGCTGCAGCGCTGCCTGCGCCGCGCGTGCCGCCTTCCGCTTGTCCTCCTGCGCAGCCCCCACCTCGGCCCCCGCAGCCGCTGCCGCCGCCGCCGCCTCGCTGCTGCTGCCGCCGCCGCCGTCGGCCTCTGGCCCGCGTGCGAGCGCCAGCACCTCCCGGGCAAGCGCGAGCGCCGCGCGGCAGCAGGCGGCGGCCTCCGCGCCGGCCGGCGGGGGCGCGGGCGGCGCCTCTCCCCCGTACGCGCCCGCGGGCGCCTCCCCTAGCAGGGCCGCCAGGCTCAAGACAATCCCCGGCAGCCGGGGCCCCGACG